ATCTCTCTCACACTCCTGACCCTAGCAAGAAAGCATTCAATTCTTCACCATGTACTACGATCATCTATAGTTTGGGTGACGTTCTTCACCAACCAATGAAGCCCCTCTTTATCCCTGTTTGGTGAACACTTTCCATAATGAACTAGTCTTGGGCTTGTCAAGCGCTTTTCTTGTGTGCGCTGATATGACCATATTGTTTTTCTTTCTTAGCCTGTTGATGTGATAAAATTATTTTAACTGCCAATTCAGCCCTTCACACCTGGGATGCCCCCACTTTGTTATGGAGTATAATTTTTCATACATTACTGGGCTCCGTTTGCTAGTATCTTGTTAAAGATTTTTGCATCTCTGTCTACAAAATGGTGGTCTCTTGTTTACCTTATGTTTACTTGGCAGGCAGCTATCCTTTAAATCACTTTATACCTAGGAATGGTCCTCAAGCTATTAGCAAGGAGGAGGTTAGGGATTTCAGAAATCTGGCGTGTGTGCTAGAGAGAGAGAGAGAGAGAGAGAGAGAGAGAGAGAGAGAGAGAGAGAGAAGACGGATATAACAAAAGCCCCTCTATCTTCTGAAAAAGATGGCAATTTGTTCCTTTAGTATTTGGTAGAACTTAAACAGAAATTAGATTTTCTGAAGGGAATTAGATGATGGCTGAAGACAGTGGCACAAAAAGACTCGATTTTTCTCCATTTCACTTTTCAATTTCACTTGCTATGTTTCAAATTACAACACAACAACATCAGTACATATTTTTACATTTTCTGTTTCAAGGCTAAACAGCCATAGAATTGGATCGTCCAGTATTTTAGCTTTCTGAAAATTAGGTCGCAAACCCCACAGTTTTCTGAAATCACAAATCTAAATGGTAAAATGAGGGACTGTGATTTAATCTACTGCGTTTCAAAGGAACGCCGAGAGGGCCTCAATCAAATGTGTCTCTGCCACTTAACACAGTGGGTTTGTTTTTAACCAGGAAGACGGAGAAAGCTCTTTGGTCTTAATCCACGTTTCAGGTGAGGCTCTTTCCTAAATGTAAAGACCTGAAACAATGCCAGCTCCCGGCGAGGCTTCCAAGAACTGGCCATCCAATGCATTTTGCTTTCCCTATTGTGAGCTGGTAAGCGCCTCTTATCGATACCTGTCCTGATTACCTAACTCCAAATCTAATCTGTCTATTCTAATTCGATCTCATCGGACTTTCAGCAGCAGCTCTGTATAAGCCAATTTCCATGCCGGATGCCAAATTCTACCTCTGCCGCAGATCTAACACCCAAAGAGACTGGCGAAGAAAGGGGCAGGCAGGTGGGTGCCCATCTGCAGCATAGAGCAAGATGAAGTTTCCTCCTCCAAGTCGGTCTCCCCCACCGCCGTTCTCTAAATTAGTGCGAAGGTAATTTGGTAATTTGAGACTCTTTACAAATGAAAGTATTTTCAATTATTTAAAAACACTCTCCCATTAGAAATGGGAAGGTGACCTAGTATTCAGTCTCATTAGCATATTCATTAATAATTACATGACTAGACACTATCTCTTCTCTGTACCCTGTAATTCTGCTCTATATAATGGGATCTCTCTCTGACTGAGGTACTTTCCTCCTCTGTTGGTTTGCTAATAAATCAGCCCCCTTAACAAGCAAAAGACGTGCCTTCCACTATCTCCTAGGACCACTAAGTGAAGATGCTGGTAGTGAAAGCAAGTCTTTGAAATGGGTCTTAAAACCCTTAGCGTTCGATCGCCACCCATTAACATATTCCTTCAGAACAGAACACACCGACTCACCTCACCTCAGTGCTGGTAAGAGAAGCAGGCCTCCCGAGAAAAGTGTCCTCTGCCCTACATACACCGCCTCCCATCAAAACGGAACTCGATAGCCACAGAAGAAAAGTGTCTTTGCCTTTGCGTAACACAAGGCAGGAGGCATGCCACGCACAACACACAAACAGTGGTGAGATGTATAAAAACAAAAACAAGGGCTGGAAGTTCGTTCCATATGGAATGATGACAAGCATGCCAAGGAAGATGGCCAAAGGCTCCTCAGAGCTAGAGAGGTGGCTGCGGTTAAGGGTGCTTGATTCTCAGCCAAGAAGACCAGAGTTCCTAGCCCAGCACCCCCACCCAACCCCCACAAGCCAGGCTTGGTTACCCACGTTCCTTTAACCTTAGTGTGTGGTAAGGGGCAATGACAGGAGAATCAGTAGGATTTGCTGGGTAACAGAATAGCTGAAAACATATACTCTCCAAGTCCAGAATGACCCTGCCTCAAGGATAAGACGAACACAGAGGGTGTCTGACCCCCCACTCTCTGGCCTTGGGACGCGCGTGTGTGCCTGCACATGCGCACACACGCGCACGCGCATCTGGGCAGAAGACACTGTATTTCCTTTTCTCACACAGTCCCAAAGCCTCATCTTACACAGTGGAGCATATTATCTAATGGCCATCTATTAGCAGATCTGAGATTCAGTAATCGAAACAGCCACCTCTAAAAGCGGGGCACTTTCCACAAGAGGTTCCTCCTTGGATATTCTGACGCTTATTTAGGTCAATAGTCCCTCAACCATATCAGTTTCCATGTGGTCCATCCGTCAAACACTTTGCGATTTTTACTCTACCACTCTGAAATGAAAACGAGTAAGCTCTCTACCAACAATTTCAAACATAATCCATCTATCCTAAATAAAATGATAAGTGAAAAGGGGAAATGAAAATAAGTTATATTTTAAAAAATGCATGTCAACATTTGAACGCTGGGACAAAATAATCAGTAACTGGACATGACTGCGCTGCAAACCTGCTTATGACGCAATGATCCAGAACTATAAACAATTGCTCATCAAGTTGTGAACAGAACAACCCTTCCTTTAATCTATACAACAGGAATGGACAGACACAGATACAAGAAAATTCACTCTTGGTTAAAACGATGACTTTATAAAGTGGAAACTTCAGGCTCAGATAGTTACAAATATTACAGGAATGTCAAGCATGATATTCCTAAGCCATGAAGGACACAGGAACATTCTTTGTTCAGCATGTCCCGCACATAGCATCCCCGCCCCCATCCACCACATGTTAGTGGTTAATCCCAATTACAAACCACTAAAGGGGGGGGGGGGTTTGTGCTAATTTCCCCCTAGAGAGCAACCTCCCTGGACCAACTAGCTCCCACCCAATTTAGGTATGAATCACAATATTGGAGTCCAGCTCTATTACCTATGAACTATGCGATCACTGGCTAATGAGTTAAGTTCTCTAAACCTCCGTTTCCATGGTATCAAAGAGAATCAACACTCCAGGGCTGTCTGGAGTGTGGGGATGACTCAACAACACTGTAGCAGCACAGGGTAGGTGGTTTACAACCCCTGGCTTTTTGAAATAGGAACAAGGGGGCTGTATCCTGCAAACAAAAACAGAAAAAACATCAGTGCCTGATAGGTACTAAAAGAAACTAAATGAGTAAGAGTGAGAAAAGTCCAGAAATTTAAGGTATAAGTTACAAGGGGCCCACGGGGTGGGGGTGGGGGTGGGGGGAACAAGTATCAGGAAAATCAAGGTCAGGAAGGTAGAGAATAGGAATAAAGCATTCAAGAAAAAAAAATGCAGTCAAAGGCATGAAAACATGGCTTGGCTACGAGAAGAGAGGTGGGGGATGGCATATTAGGGGTCAGGGATGAAGGCTGTTGTGACATTACAGGACGGGTGCCCAGGGAAGGATACCAAGGACACTGAGTATACCAGAAACCTGGGGCTTGGATGCAAACATGACTCCCCAATAACGCTGAATAATGGCCAAACTAAATATTCAGGACAAACACAAATTATCATTGCAGCCCCTGAAACAAAAGTCCATATTCTTAAACGTAAATAAGCAGAAAGAACCTAAGAGGAGAAGGCAGCTTGCATTCTCTGCTTCCTGGTTCTGCGGATGGACTGGGGCAGGCCTCGGCCTCTAGGGTGCTGGGATCACAAGGCCTTCACCATCAGGCCTCACCAGCGCCTTTCTTTACTAACCAAAAGTCTTAATTTATAGACCTCATTCATTAAAAGGAACTGAGGATAATCTACCCCTGTCCCTTGATACCATTCCAGGCAAATCCGAGACCTTCCTAAACACATTAATTAGCAATACCTTACATCACCCTTGAAAAGCAAGTGGTAAGCTACGGTATTATTAGCCTCTTTTTATTATGGGGAAACTGGGGAACAAAAAGATTAAATTACAGTATGTCACAAAATGAGCCATCATATTTTCTAGCACTTTAATTAAAGGTACCAAGCCCACATTACAGACTTCCCAGCTTTAGTAGAACTTTTACTACTGCTTCAACCGGGGGGACTAAGGGAAAAACACCAACAGTAACTTAAAGGTCATTTGCCCAATTTGATACTTGTCACCCAAAACTCGGGAGTTTCAAATTTTAGACCGTGTAAGCAGTAATCTACCCCTCCCCCCACGCGCACACACACCGGAAAGGAAAAAAAAATAAGGACACTTGTAAACAGCACCACCGGTCGGAAATCCTGGGTCCACGTTTTACTCGGGTTATGTGGCAGGCAATTCAGGAGTTGGCGGTGGCCGACGGAAAAGATGCCCCAGGGGGCCCAGCGCGGCCTCGCCACCACCGCTGCCCAGCACTCCAAACATGACCCCAAACGCTCTCCCCTGGCCCCTGCATTGCACCACGAGCCTCGCGATCCCCAACCCAGACCTGGGCTAGGCCCTGGCTGCCGGGCTTCCGTGAGCACCGGAGCCGCACCTAGCCAGGCACTTCCCCAGCCCGGGTCCTCCCCGCGCCCGGCCTCGGCTCCCACGCATTCTCACCGCCCGACCGGTGTCCCCCGTCGCAGGGAAGCGAGGTAGCCGCGCAGGTCGGTGGAGCGCAGCGCCCGTCGGGGTCCCGGAGCCGCCGCCTATCAGCGGAGCGCAGGGGCGGGGCCGGCTGGGGCGCGGGGCCGCGGGCGGGGGCGGGCGGGGGACCGGGCGCCGGGCGGCTCCGGGCGCCGCGCGCACACACCGGGCCGGCTCCCGAGGGCTCCAGCGCGGCCCCGGGGAGCGCGAGCGGGGAGCGCGCGGCATGCGGTCAGCGGCCCAGCGGCCGGAAAGATGGTGTCCTGGATGATCTCCCGAGCCGTGGTGTAAGTGCCGGAGGGGACTGGGGAGTAATGGGGAAAGAAGCGCTCGTGGCCCGGTTGAGGAGCCGAGCACGACGGGCCGTGCGCGGCCTGCTGCTCACCCGTGTCCGAGTCGCTGCGGGGCTCCGGGGCGGCGGCGGCGCTGGGAGCAGAGCGCGGGCGGGCGGCGGGCTCTGCTCCGTGGAGCGGCTCCGTGGCGCTCGGCGGGCTCTACTCGGCTTCTCCTCCGCTCCTCGGCTCGTCGGCTGCGCGCCGGGCGCTGCTCGGCTCCTCCTCGGCTTCTCGGCTCCTCCGCTGCCCGGCGGTGCGCGCGGCGGGCTCTGCTCGGCTCCGCGGCGCGCTCCCGGCTGCGGCTCCCGCTCCCGCGGCCCGCGCTGCGCGGCACCGCCCTGCGCAGGCTCCGCCGACGCTGAGCGCGGGAGGCCGGCGGGGCTCCGGATGCGCCCGAGCCTTTGTCACCAGCTCTACCGCGTTGCGGTGTCTGTGTCCCCGGCGGCCGTGCGCCCCGCGGTCACGTGTAGTAGGAGGAGAGATGGCTGTTAGAGCCCCGACTGCGGAGCTCTGCTCAGGGGTCCCAGGGTAGTCCGCTAACCCAGGAAGGAGCCTGGACTTGAAAGGTCGGCCAAACCCTCCCTCGGGCCCTGTTTGGGAAGCAACATTTGCGACGGAGGAGGCGCAGGTGTTTGTCCCCTTTGTTCACATCTTTTCACTTTATTGCGATACCTGCCAGAACTGCGGGTCGGGAAGAAGGGGGTTGGAAGTTGTGTTGTTTAATCTGCAAAGATATTTGAATACAAGTTAAACCGGTTCTTTCCCCCGTCTTCCACTTTAGCCCTCTCTGCTCTAAAAGAAAGTCACCAAGTAAACTGCGGTAATTTAGGTTGAGCCTGGGAACGGGGATTCATTATTCATGTAGGAGTAATGTCATCTGAGTACCTTAATGAAATGTTTATATGAGGTAGCAGGCCTCGCTGATTAGCTTATAATTTGAAGGGAGAAAATAACATTACTTGGGCTTTTTTTTTTCTCTCTTTTCACTACGGAGTAGCTAAATTATCTAGCTTGGCTTTATTTCATTTGGAAGTGAACTAGGTAACCTAATTTGCAATGCATTCAAAATTTGTCATTTTGCAAAACGCCTCAAGCTTTGAAGCCTATGAACTTTTTGCGTTCATCTTAAAACCCAAAATAAATAGAGTTATACTACGGATGCCTTCAAATTGTTTTTTAGCCTTTTCCAGGGCAATCTTTGGGTTTCCACATAATCCAGGCATACTTTTTGCCAAGGAAGTATAGTCGACTCTACTAGGCTACCAGAAGTCTCTCAACTGCTTTGTCCAAGCTCTGAAATTAAATTCCCCATTTTAAAAAAAAATGTATTTGTCTTTGATCTCTTTGACCATTTCTACTTATGGAAAAATTATGGGACAGATTTTGCATTCACGAAAGTTTTTGTTTTTGAAAAGGAATATGTTCCTAGTGCTGCCCCCAACACAAAGGTCAGCACCATGTAGGAGATCTTACTGGAACAGACATTGCATATTCTCAGATATCTACTGTACAGGTCAGAATGTCAAGCCTTATGAGGGTAATACCCAGTGTTAGACAAGGAAGAGATTATATGCGGTTGGAGAGTCATCAAAGAAGGCAAGAGAGATTACATTCAAAATAGATCTTAAAGAACAAACCTAAGCTAGACAGCCAAAGAGGAAGAAGGAAAGAGATTTCTGATAGGCGGATTGTTGTAAACCAGAGCCCAGGTAGATTACAGGGAGAGAGAAAGCTTCACCATTGTCTCAAGAGTTGGTAATTCCCAGCGACTCTGAGTGGAGCCAGTGGAGGAGGGCACCTCACTGAAGAAAGCGTGCACACCTGCTTTGTCACCCGGTGGGATGGACGGTCGGGGTGAAGAGGAAGCAGGAAGATGTGATGAAGGAGAAAGGGGTTCTTCGGAGAGGTGTTAATCAAGAGTGAGGAAATGTATTTCCTGGGCTTTAGACCCTGCAGAGTGGAAGCACACTTGGTAGAGAACCCTAGTGGTCTGTGTGCTTCCCTCTGCTCTTGAGTTTGTCTCTAAACATGAAAGCAGTCCTGTTGTCCACCCGGACCTAGGCACATGTTCTGAACCATGCAGTGGGATTTCTTTATGTACATTCTTCCTAGGCTACCGAAAGAGCCAGCTGGTCCTACACAAGATCTGACAATTTTCTCAGAGTCAACCTCTAGTGGCACCAGTAAGGGACAAAGGATTTATTTATTGTTTTGGGGGTATTCTTGGGGATATGCATCAAAGGACAACCTATAGGAGTCTGTTCTTTCTTTCCACCATGTGAGTCCCAGGGATTGAACTAGGAACTTAGACTCAGCAGCAGGTAGAGTCTCCTCATCTTAACATGATTATTGTAAAAATCGACTCACTTAAATGTTGCCGCAAGACCAACAAATTAGCAGTTTTTAATGTGTTTATTTATCTGTTTGTGTATGTGTGCATGGATGTATTATGTGTACCATGTTTCTGCAGGAGCCCAAGGAGGTCAGAATACAGTGTCATATCCCTTCCATGTGGGTGCTGGACCCAAACCTGCCCCCCCCCCCCGCCCCCAGGAGACACCGAGTGCTCTTAACCACTGAGCCAGCTCCCCGGGTTAGCAATTTTTGATGGTAACCTGAGTGTACCACATAATACTAAATTCCTATACCTCAAAATCTGAAAGCATGACTCACGAATTGAGGGAAATACCTACCCCCTTTCCCTAACTTTTCTTAGCTCATGTTCTTTATACACTGTCCACAAAATCAAACCTCAAACCAGCTTATCTGAATTTAAATATTAGCTCTGTCACCTAGCGACAGTGACTCACCCCATAAGATAAGATGCGTTCTTACATATAATGCCCACATGCAGCATGTGACGGGTGGTAATCATTCTGTAAGTGCCAGTAAATAATTAGGAAATAAACCGCCAATGTAAGTATGCCAGGCTGCATCAAGGAAGCACTTACCCTCCCAGTACGTATATATTGAATTTTAGACTATTTTATGTTTTCTTTTCTAACCCCTCCGAGCCTGTGTTTAGATAACATAGTTATACATACAAAAGTTTGTATTATACCACTTTATAGGGGCTGCTATAATGCAGGTACAGTTCTGCAGTGGATACCCTTCATGTAATGTCTTGAGGATTTCTTTAAGATAAACACATGACAAGTATATCTGAGTCAGACTTTTATGTTTTCATGATCCTTGGTCCAAAACAGCAAATTGTTGTCTAAAAAAAAAAAAAAATTATTCCAAATGTCTTCTGTGCAAGCACAAGCTGCAGCCCGGCATATGGGCGGGTGGTGGCGCACGCCTTTAATCCCAGCACTCGGGAGGCAGAGGCGGGAGGATGTCTGTGAGTTTGAAGCCAACTTGGTCTACAGAGACAGTTCCAGGACAGCTGGAGCTCCCTGCACAGAGGAACCCTGTCTCAAAAAGACACACAGATAAGAAAGAAGATGCAGCCTGGCATACTTATACTGATATTTTGTTTCCTGATTATGTACTTGTTAATGTCTTGCTTTACTTATTAATGTCTATGCAGACGCTCTGCATGTCTGAGTCCCTACCTCTGCATGCTTCTTTGTCTTCCCTAAACTCCTTACTGGACAGGGAAACTCAGACTGTTTCATACTGGCTGGAAATATGCTTTAATCTAATTTTACTTCTCTTCCAGATGTTATTTTTAGCTATACAGTTCATAGTTTTTATTTGTCCTTGATTATTCCGGACAGTGCTGCGGTTCAAACCTAAGACCTTGTACACACTAGTCAGATGTTCTACCACTGAACTACATCCCCAGCTCTTAAACAACTGGATTTTTTTTTTTTTACTTTGTGATTTCTTTATATAAATCCAAATGTTTGATAAGTACTTTTTTGTCATATGGAATTGAATTATGGAGAGTTCCCTATTTCCTTCTTTCATGAGTAACCCCTTTCTTATGTTTTGTCTTACCATGATTGCATCAAATGGCAGTAGTGAGGAAACTCCCCTCCTCTTCCTTTAACTCTGTTCTAGTTTCATTTCTGTTGTCGTGACAAATATCCCGACAGAAAGCTACATAGGGAAGGAAGGGTTTATTTTGATTCAGAATTCCAGGCGGCAGTCCGTTACTGCAGGGACACGAGGACAGGAACATAGGCATCATATCCGCAGCTGGGGGTGGGGGTTGGTCCTGGCTTGCTTTCCTCTAGCTTTCTCTTCTCTTAGAGGGATCGGGTCCTAGGGGATGGTGCCACCCGCTGTGGACTGGCTCTTCCTACACCAGTTAACAGTCATGACTGTTCCGCCCATAGACGTGTCCATAGGCCGACCTGATATGGATCGTGCCCTATGAAGGCTCTTTCCAAGTGGTTTAAGGTTGGGCCAAGTTGATTGTTAAAGCTAATCAGCGTGTTCATCATCTTTTTTATATTTCATGAACATATCTTTGGAGATAAAGTTGTACACTTTGTCTATGTTCTAGAAATGCCCCCTCCTCTTTCCAGCATGTTCTGTTTTACCCCTCTGCCAGATGTTTCTTCTGAGCATACACATGTGTTATGATTTCTCACACATCCTTAAAAACATAATTTCACAACATTCCTTCATGGTGCTGTACTTTCCTTCTTACCTCTTCCTTTCCCTCCCTCCCTTCCACATAAGATGGCGCACACCTTCAACCCCAGCACTTGGGAGGCAGAGGCAGGCAGGTTCTCTGTGAGTTTGAGACCAGCCTGGTCTACAGAACTAGTTTCAGGACAGCCAGGACTACACAGAGAAACCCTGTCCCCACCCCACCCCACCCCAAAAAATAGAAATATGAAGCTGAAGGTTACCGTTATGTTGCCAGTGTCAGCAACATGGCAAAACCAGAGCTGGCAAGGAAAGAGTAAGTGAAAGTCAAGGGAGGAATCTAGATATAGGTTTGTGCTGACCAGTAGTAATTCAGAAAGTAATTTCAGGAAGTACTCAGATATCCT